TCAACTCTGTTGGGTTCAGATCTAATTAGTAAGGGTAAGTCGTAACACGGCGTGACCTTGACCATTAATGTAAGTGCCAACCATATACATGGGCTCAGGTCATGTTCACCCGTCAGTGCAGCCACGCCACCATATCTCCTTTAAAGCTATTAGACGGAGGGGTCTTAATCGCTGTCTCGGTCCTGCAAACTGTGATATGGTGCATTGTCCATGATAAGGGACTTGGCAGGTTAAGCAGTTTAGTTTAGTTTTCTCCCACTCCAGATATACCTTGTCATTCATTTCTGTTGTCCTTGGCTCGGAGATAACCCTGCCTAGCACAACTAGCATGGAGAACCATAAGTCTTTCACCTTTTCCCATTGGTAACGTCCTCCCAGACTGCTTACAATCCCCACCGGGTACCCACTGACTGCTGACTGTGTGAGAGGCATTTACCCACGTCTCATCAACAGGCTCACATCCTTCTTCATGGTTCGAAGATTATGATTTCGGGGACGAAGGATGTCAGATCGTTCACATAACATAGCCCTCTTTTCACCTCTTATCTTTTTGTATCTGTGTCCTTATATTTGCAAAAGTTGCCAAGCTTGTATTTTGTAACAATTAAATCATGTTCAGTTTCAAGGTTTTTCTTCAAGAGTCTTAGTGACGTGTACTTATTTTCTGAATGCAGTTGAACAATTGCACGTCTGAAAACTGTCCAATTTATTAACCCACCACGGTTTTAATATGTTCCCCACCTGCCTCGCGTGATTGCTGGAGTTCCGTCGACGGACAACATTTTTCAGCTTTTGTTAAGAGACGTACCAATAATTTTAGAAGCTCGTTCCAAGTATTTATTAATGGTATACAACGGTTTTCCTCTTTCTGCTTCACATTGAAATAAATCTTACACCTTAAAAATCAACATCAGCCGAGTAGCGGCTGTCAGTCAGTAAAGTCAACAACGACATATACTATGTAGCACGTGCAGAACGTCATTGCGCTGTTCCTCCTACCGTTGTGCCCCCTCAGTTCAAGATGTCAACTTGTACACATGACAACATGATAGTTTCTAAAACATCTTTTTCCAGTGATGGGAAAATAGATAACAAACAACAGGTATTATTGGGTACATGGTATTCACTGGTGTGTACCGCATGAATTACAAAAATACTCTTCGGTAGAAATACATTGGGATTGAGTAAAGGTATTTTAGTCTCAATACGATACGTCAAGAAGTTTCGATGATAACAAAAGGGTTAGTGATTAGTTAATTGTTGATTACACACACACAAAGAACAAAGCTCACTTAGATCTTTGGTCTAACTGAGCAAAACGTATATATATATACAAAGCATCAACATGTTTACAGGGATCCTAATGTGTTCAGAAAATATCTTTAAAACGTCAGTAACATAAACAAGTGCTGTGCGGTCAAAATAATAACATTTCCCAGAATATCATACAAATTGTCATAGCCATATGAGAGAAATCGATTGACGTCATCCATACACCTACACGTTATTTCAATACGCCCACGATCCTTTATAGTCCAAAGCTATTTTCAAATAGGCTAGAATCGTAAAGTATTACATGACTGACCCTTGTCTGTGGCATTACCCATACATTAAATGCCTTGTCCCAATTACAAAAACTATAATTTCAGGCTCGTAATTGTACGTATACAACATGAAATACCAAATATGTGTATGTTCTTCAATATTCCAGTTGGAATTGGTATCTATTTATCTATCGATTGACCTTGGTGATTAAACCCACAAGGACACTTTCCTCACTAATTCGGATATAAGCGGTGTAAAGGTTACACAGACTGAAAGCATAGAAGGCATCAGAAAGTGTCTATTGACGTCAGTTACCGGCTATACGTTCGTTTGTATACAAGTTGCACACAAAAATCTCGCCGACGCATCATAATCTAAAGCAAATACGTTATATGAATGAGTCATTTATACATTATCAATCTCATTAAAATCAGATCTTAGTTCTCGCTGCCGCTAAACAAAGCTTTGTTTAGCGATCGCGAGAACTAAGATCTGATTTTAATTAGATTGATATATTAGTCCCCTCATTTCCTAAATCAATATTCTGAAAGAAACTGAGTAACAAAACAGCTTTTGTTGGTACTTTCGTTTTTAAGTATTGTTTTACCCTTTATACCATCTAGTGTAATAAAGTCCCACTGGTTAATACAATCGGTCTAATATACCATTAAATGTTTACATTACATATATGTGAATATAAACGACGAAACACTTTCCATCATCAAATTTAACTGTGATGAAACCAGGTGTTCGCGTAAAGATGAGCGTATACGGCCCCAACATTCACACACATAAACAAAGGCGAGTCAATTGTGCACCTGATAAAACACAAAAATCATGGGGTATAAGTCCAAATGCAAGGGCATTGCATCGGACAGTTTGCTCACTGGTGTGTCAAATTTGGAAATGTTCCCCACATGTCTACAAATAACATTTTGAAAGCTTTATTAAGGCCTTAAATGCCTTACCCTGATCAAGCAACTTTGGGGCGAAATGATATAACGCTCTTTGAAATCTTCATAGAATATGCGACCCATGATGATTCCGGAAAAGAATAGGTCTTCAGCAACCCATGCCTACCGTAAAAGGTGATTATGCTTGTCGTAAAAGGCAACTAACGGGATCGGGTGGTCAGGCTCGCTGACTTGGTTGATGCATGTCATCGATCCCAATTGCGTGGATCGATATTAATCACTGTATTGTCTGGTCCAGACTCGATTATTTACAGACCGCCGTCATATAGCTGGAATATTGCTGAGTGCGGCGTTAAACAACAAACCAACCAACCAAATCATAGAATAATCGAGTGAGTGAGTTGGTTTTTAACGCCGCTTTGAACAATATTCCAGTTATGTCACGGCGTGTCAGCTTAATGTGGGAGGAAAGTCAAAGGTGATACCACGGGCACAGGTACGGTGTTGACAAACCTTGACATATAATCGGGGCGTTTCTGGCGTTCCCAAGGGACGCAACAAATTCCGGCGCAAATGCAAACTTTCTTTCATGCAACTTCAGTAGTTTCTGAGAAAGCTTGTCCCCATTTCACACAGTATTCAGCAAGTTAAAGAGCACGGAGCAAGAGCTATAACTCTCTATAAAATAAATGACGGGACCAGTTTTCGAACTTATTTGAGACCAGTAACATCCGTGTGTTCAATTTCTTTTCTCCGACTTAAATTTTGGAGAAAATTTGTCTCCTTTGAGAACCGGACGGAAGGAATCACGGACGGACGAACACCGTTCCCATATCCCCCGCCCCACCCCACTTCGTGGCGGGTGATAACAATAATGTGTCAAGCAATCAAGCAGTCAAGTTTTACATTCATCAGACCTATACCTTGTACAAGGAGGAAAGAGCACACTTCCTTAAAACGGTAGTCTGCTGTAAGCTGAGTAAAATTTAACTATGTTTTAATTATCAAGTTAAGTCATTTACACCTGCACTGGGAAGCAGTCTGTCTGGTATAAGTGGTTCATAATACTAAAAGGTGCCCTGCATTTAGTCAAGTCGTGACATATTGCCGTGACACCTGACATACATGTGCTTCAAGTGGCATTGCTCTCGTTTAACAACACGCCTTCAGAACCATAACGTCACCGGGCTGCTTTATAAATCTAGGCACATGGAAAGTGGGATTTTGCCGAAAGGTCATGTTTTCTATCTTCAACGCCTTCCTACGTGGTTCTTATTTCGCTGTCATGCTCCTGCTACCAGTTGTGGTATGCTAAGGTGAAGAGAATTGAGTTGTATCACATACCTAGCATTGGTAGTGACACAAGGTAGTGGCATGTTTGTGTATGTATATACGGGACCACCTGCACGGGAAGACAATCCATCAACCGTAGCCTGACTGTTTTTATAATGCACGAGAACCCTGAAATACTGCCATCTCTCTCCACAACAGTGAATGATTGAGTGGACATTGTTTTAATGCTGCAGTCAGGTATTCCAGCTTTAGCTCTGATCCAGGCAAACAGTTGACTTAATATTAAACGTCAACGCCAGAGAGTATCATTCTCGAAAGAATGAACCACGATTAACTCTGTCGGGACACGATGATGATTATTCAGCCAAGTACCCGATCCACTTTACACCTGCATGACTGCATTGAACCACACACATTGCCTTTTTCTCTAAGGGAATGGTGGTGGTGCCCTATAGATAATGTAGAATTGAGATATAGGATGGGCATACAAGCGAACATCTTCCCGAGGCAAGAGAGTTTAACTGACTATAAAAGTCCAGTTTCCACCCTTGCCGAACTAGGCTGGTATTATGGGGTTACATTTTGGCTGGACTAACGAGTCTATGCATAGTCCAATCAAAATCGCGCAACGAAATCGAAATCCGGTTCGTAAACTGTCGTGTAGATTTCGGTCGATTAATGGATTTGCAAAGCATGTGCTCTGCCAACTCGTTGTCAACAGATATTTGTCCAACCTTTTCATGTTTTTAATCAAGGTGATTTGATGCACCTCGAGATGTAAGACCCGTTTTATCACAATATAGATCTTGATTATCGATCAGATTGTCTTGACTAGGCGCCGCCATTTTGATTGAAACAAATGCAAGTGATGGAATCTGATTGGTCCATAGGAGAGGCTTAGAAGGGACATAACTCGTAATAACCACTGGTGGCGCTAGAAACTGGATGCGATGACCAATCATAGAGTATTCTTGACGCGGAGACAGGGTGGGGGAAGGCACCCTCATAAAACGGATGAATCCACGTGTCGACCTCGATATGTATTTCTCTCCACAAAGCATGCTCGTACAATTGCATAGACATAACATGATTAATTAATGTCCGACTCTTCTCAATATTGGTCGACAAAATGAGAAAGTTACTATTGGAAAGTGGAAACCATCCCTCTTGGCACACGGTGTTGTGGATATTTTATTGACACTCTGCATCTTTATGCACAGATGCTAATATGTAACATACGATCAGCTCTTTTTTTGTCATTTACTATTATGCAAGTCAGTAGATATAGATGTACTTATTGACTTACGATAACAAAGGTCTGAGGTGAAGAGGGACGCCAATACTGCCGTCTTCGATCTGATAATGTGCCGTCACAAGATCTCTCTCCACGGACTGGCTGCTCTGGGGTGTGTCAAGGTTGTAGTAGACCAGTTGTCTGAATAGAAAGTATATAAATCATCAAATCAAACAAGTCATTCAATTACTGAGGAAAAAGCAATTTAGAGTGTCAAACATGAACATATGCCATCAAGCGTCAATAGGTCTGAGCACCAGTAAAGATCCGGGTTAGAATAGATCTTCAGCAACCCATGCTTGCCCTTAAAGACGACTGTGCTTATCGTAAGATGCGAGTAAGGGGGTCGGGTGGTCAGACTCACTGACTGGGTCAATGCATGTCATCGTATCCCAATTGCGTGGATTGATGCTCATGATATCAGCCATTGGATTGCCTGACCGCCGTCAAATAGCTGGAATATTGCAAAAACAAACACACTAACAATAGGTCTGAGTAAGTTGGCAATGTAATTAACAGTTGACGAGCATGTTGTTTATGCCTACTGATTGAATGTTTTAATGAAACTGGAAAAATGGACAACAACTAGTTTGAAAAAACAATGAAAGGTGTAAGATTGAAGGTGGTGGAAAAAGGTTACCTAAAACGCATACCTGAACGCAGACAATGTGGGTATAAAATGGTTAATTCCAGATGCAACTGAGCTGCACTGTTGGAAGTTGCAAATGCGACGTTATATCTCTTGCTGCGTGACCCCTCAATACTGACTGATCATAATTTAACTTGCTTTTAATTTAAATGCCAGCGGTAACCTTTAAAGAGTCTCTTACAAATCTGAAGTCATATGCACTTACTGGGATTCCTCCGGTTGGTGACAAGGTTTTTCATCAGCACTGCTTAATCCAGCTGAGAGATCGGGAACATGTGCTGGAAAAGCCGGAGCTCGCTGGAAGGGAGGAGCGGCTGGATCTGGATAGGACTGATGTTGGTAACTCGGCCCAGGAAAAAAGGACGGTTCGGTTTTTCTCAGGAAACTAGAGCCGTGAAGAAGAGTAAACGAAAATGGTTCTGTATTGGGACTCATTGGGACCAGCGGCATTTGACCAAGCACCTGGTCCCGAGGTTGAAATGCTGGAGTGCTTCCAAGACTGTCTTGAATTGACCGCCCAGGCGTATGACTTGGACTAGCGTTCGTCCCAATGCTATGAAATGATGCCGAAGGCACACACGACGCAGACGGCGCTGGTCCTACGGAATGAACTTGTGTGCCTCCACGTGAAGAATCTCTGTTCATAGAAAAGTCAACGGCTTCATAGCAGCTACCTGCTTCCTGGTCGCCCTGCCATGGTTGGTCTGGTGGATAGGGTTGCCCTTGAGAGGAAGGGCAGAATGGGGGGTAGCTCTGTCTTCTCGGTCTACATCCCATGTACCGGAACTGCTGACAAGACACGTCATCATCAAATACTGGGGGATACCTGTTATAATACAAACACATAATGCAAAGGTTTTCAGTTAAGACTGGCACAATCCAATTGGGATGTATCTTCACATTGAATGTGAAAACGATATCTAAGTTGATGTATTATTTTTCTTTATATATCATACTTGCAAAGCTGAAGCATCACTAATAGTTACAAAACCTGTTTTGGGAATAATATTACTGCTTTGACTTTGGGCCGAATATCGGCCTGTAAGAACACGTTGATAACACATTTCCGACAGTTGTACAGTGGTCGCGTGGGATTTCATTTATGTGAGAGCGGATAGCAAGATTTCAGTTATATATAACTGTAAATAATCGACCAAATAGATAGCAGGAACATCGATCGGAGTACGATGACACGGTCAGTCAGGCCACACATACTGATTGTAAACAATCGTTCCTCATAACACGGCCCTCACCACAAGCAAGGTACAAACTGCGAAATAAACCGTTGTATAACGGCGATCTGTAAATAATCGTGTCTGGACCAGAAAATCCAGTGATCGATATCATGAGCATCGATCCATTCAATTGGGATACGATGACATGCATCAACTAAGTCAGTAAGCCTGACCACCCGATCCCGTAAGTCGCCTCTTACGTAAAACAACAGACCAAACCAAAAGACCCAAAACAAGCATAGTCGCCTTTTTGGGCAAGCGTGGGTTGTTGAAAGACCCCTGATCTACCGGGAACCCCTGATCTTCACGGGTGGACTGAGGGGGAATAGTACCTGATCGTAACAGACGGGGCAGGAACATCACTGGCCTGTCCCGCGAGTGCCAACCTTTGGTCCTGACCATCATCAATATCATCTGAGGTTAGGCGAATGCGCTTCCTATATAACAGAAAAAGCACACAGTTAAGTCATGTTATATTGACATTCTCTCTAAAGACAAGTATGATGTGCTGGGGACCTATTCACACCAGTGTTATGGTGCCATTCCTTCAAACTTGGATCATTAACAGAACAAATTATACAAAAATAGCAAAGTCGATCCATTTTAAACCGAAACTTGGCTTTATTTCATAAATATAAGCCTTCTTCGTAATGAAGATAAGACGAACGGCTGTAATTAGCGGAAATACCCGATTTTGTGAAATTGCCTTGGTTTAATTATTAGTAAAACGCTATTAGGTAAGCCATAAAAATGATATTTTTGGATTTACTAGCTTTAACTCTGCATATGGTGTAGGTATAATCCAAAGTATTACAGTGTCGAAAATAAAATAAAACATCTCCTCTTTCCTTCAAACAGCTCTTTTATCAATTACACTGACTGATCCCGAGAGGACCTTGTGTTAATGCGATTTCCGAAATTATAAACAACACAAATGGACTAAACAGTTTTTAAATCCATTTTTTATCTCATCTTAATTATAAAAAAAGGTACTCGAAATAGTTCTTCATCCAGGAAGTTGGCAGTACACGTGGGTGAACGAATGCTGCTACATTAATATCGGTTTATTAAATAGACCATTTCAAAACAGCAATGAGGTATACATTTCTGCCGTTTGGCTTTTCTGCCCATTTGGCTTTAAAAGTAAAGTATATTTTGACGAGATATTGATTTAGACTGATTTTGTAAACGATTTCATAGTATCTTCTAACGTGGGCGAGAATGTCAAAGCATCTCTTTAACAGTATAACAGTCGCACACTTAAGACCAGTGACACATTTTGAAGTCAAGGGTGAATGCCGAAGATTATGATCCATGCGACACAACCGCTTGACAAGAAATGTACATGTGCAAAAAGATGCCAACATGTTTTTCAAGGCAAATACGTGCAAAATTGTGGGTTTATATGTGTTGTTTTTGAATATTGAAAGTTAAATGTTGTGTGCTACTGGTAGAGTATTTCACTATGGAACTACCGGGTAAGTGACATCCAAAAGTGGCAAGTGTTTGTTGGTTGTTTAACGCCGCACTCAGCAGTATTCCAGCAATATATGACGGCGGTCTGGACCAGACAATCCATTGACTGACCAGTGGCAAGTGACATACGCAATGGTATACATGATGGTATATAGTTAACGGACACATGAACATTATCATGAATATAAACCTTCAAAAGGAGATGTTCAAACTCATATTTTTGCCACATGAAGGCTTGTATAAAGGTATAATGCCACAAAGGACTTCCATCTGATGAATATATTAGTCAATATGGAGAAGACTGAGTTTGGTTTTAAGCCGCTTTTAGAATATTCCAGCAATATCACGGCGGGGACACCAGAAGTGGGATTCATACAGTCGAACACGGGTCGTCGGTGTAACGAGCGAACGCTTTAATCACTACACCTCACAGTCTACCCCAAACATGTCATTATGAGTAATCAACTCTAAATTTCTGTTGACGTCCATATTTATATGTATCTTATATTGCACAGTTGTTCTTTCTATAAAATCAGGATGAGTTGCCCTTTATAACATTTAACAGGAACCAAACAATTGCGTTTAGTGAGTGAGTTGGGTTTAACGCCGCTTTTAACAGTATTCCAGTTATATCACGGCGTGTCAGCTTAATGTGGGAGGAAAGCCCGAAGTGATGCAGGTCTCAGACGTTTACCACTTCGGTGAAACCCACGAGCACGGGCATGGTGCTGACAAACCTAGAAACATAATCGGGGCGAACCGGGATTCGAACCCACAATCATAGGTTTCTGGCGTGTCCAAGGGGCGCAACTCTGCGCAGCGAATCGCGGTGCCTTAGACGACTGGGCCACCCGTGCCCCACAATTGCGTTTAAGTACCTTTGGCGAGTGGCTACACCTACGAGTCGCTACACTTATCATCAAGAAGTTAAACCATTGTTCAACAACAACAACCCATCCACCGAAATAGTCACCCGTGAAGATCCGGGGAAGAATAGGTCTTCAGCAACCCATTCTTGCTGTAAAAGGCGACTATGCTTGTCGTAAGAGGCGACTGACGGAATTGGGTGCTCAGGCTCGGTGACATGGTTGATAAATGTCATCGTATCACAACTGCGTAGATCGATGCTCGTTATGTCAATCACTGGATTGTCTGGTTGACTATTTACAGATCGCCGTCATCTAGCTGGAATATTGCTGAGTGTGGGATTAAACAACAAACAAACAAACCAAGTAGTGTTTCCGGGTTATGCGGTCGCCAGTACCCCATATACTTGTAAGATTCAATAAAGCATCAGTGCATTACAAAGCTGATTGTACTCTCATGCTGTCCACCAGACTTATAGTTGGTATCGTACAATTGACCCTGCTTTTAGCAAAGACTTCGTAAGGTTGTGGAAAGGGTTTTTTAGCTTTTAATTATCTGGGATGTTCAACCAAATGCCCATCAAAAGTAAACTGGGTTAAAAGGATTGCTTTTGTGAAACTTGATAATTTCTTATTGGGTTCTAATATTCTTAAATTCAGACGTACTCTAACATACAATGCAATGATGTCAAACCAAGCCACACATGCAAAACGTAACATAGGATTTATGAAAATCTGCATTGGGATATCTTGAAAGTCCAAACGTAGCGTACAATTACAACAAAAGAACCCTTACCTGTATCAGTCCTATGCATGGGGTGCCTAGTACTGCCCACGTAAACTAACAACCCCAGTGATCGTGTAGGCAGGCGATCTTTCGACACGGGTGAGGTGAGGTGAGGTGAAATGGGGGTTAACGTCGCGTCCAAGATTGTTACACTTATTTAGCGTCGCGCATGCACGTGCGTGTGTACATGCATGCGTGCGTGTTGCTGCTTGTGTTAGTCGGGACTGATGTCGATTTACAGTGCAAGCACACTGAGATACCATGACGCAGTTTAACATGAATACCCCACTCAGACACAGTATACCGACTCCGAGCCGACCGGTTCTTGTTTTAGCCCCTTAATGACGAGCGCCAGACAGGGTAACAGCATGTACCATCTATCAACGCCTTTTGGTATGACACGGTCGGGGGTCGAACTCCGCTCGACCTTCCGCTCTCCGGGTGGACGCTCTACCACTAGACCACGGAGGCGGTCCTTTAGACAAGGGAACTTTTTATTCTGCGAGAGGTAAGTTTGCAAACGCCGTTTTAGTGTAGCATTTTTCCATTTCTCGAGTTTTACGCATTCATGCCAAAATCCTTTTCAATGTTGTAAAAGCAAAGTGAGGCACACGCATACACGCATAAACAAAATTATTCGGTGATCATCACAGATGACTGTCCCTTTTAAATGTCTGCGGATTAAATATTCCCTGAAATGTGTTGCAAATATGTGTTATGGTTAAATATAAACAGTGCATACTAATCATTAAACATTTAAGTTTAGATAATCTTCTTTCAAAGAGGTTTAGTTCTTACATAAATTTTCGTTGAACGATAACTGCCCTCGGTCTTATGATACACGCTTACCACAAATGCATTCAATGGGTTGTTTAGGGCGGTGGTCTTACAGGGCTAATAATTTCATAACTGTTAAATATTGAAACTTTATACTTCATAAACCTCTTAATACACATGGAGGGGCGATCGGGTAGCCCAGTGGTTAAAGCGTTCGCTCGTCACGCCGAAAACCCGGGTTCGATTCCCGACATGGGTACAATGTGTGAAGCCCATTTCTGGAATATTGCTAAAAGCGGCGTAAAACCATACTCATTCACTCACTCACTAATACACTTGGAATGCTAATATTGGCGATTAAGGCAATCCATTCCATGGCTTATCTAAATATATAAAATCTTTTAACTCGAGAATTATAGGACAATGCTGCGCTGAAATGATGTTTGCAATTTGTTGAAATATCGTCTGATTACACGATCACTGACGGATAAAAACAAGTTAGAAATGACCGGTACATAAATGTTCACAGTATATTTACTCTTATTAGCAACAGTTCACGGAGACGTACCGAAGAACGATCTATAAAACCGATTTGGTGGGGTGGAATTCCTAACATAACATGTTCAGCAAAACCACTACATGATACATAAATGGTGTGTGGTACTTAAATTAACAAGAGGCGCCTGGCGGTACTGGTGATGTGAAATGTCCACTGAGGTGCCCTGCTGCAGTTTAAAATGGGAGTGATTGAGTGAATATAGTTTTACGCCGCTTTTAGCAATATTCCAGCAATATCACGGCGGGGGACACCAGAAATGGGCTTCACACATTGTACCCATGTCGGGAATCGAACCCTGGTCTTCGGCGTGACGAGCGAACGCTTTTTACCACTAGTGTCCCCGACCGGTTTAACATGGGAACCCCATTCAGACAGTCCTACTGACTCGGGGCCGACCAGACCTTTTATCGCAATTTATACCGAGCGCCAGGCAGGGTAAAACCAAACACCATCTTTTAATATCTTTTTTTTCATGACAGACAGACAGACATAGTTTATTAAAGTGTCACATGGCATGAAACAATAAGAATACAACCTTATTAAATTTATCATACCATCCAGCCTAGCTAGGCTTATGAGACACTATTTTAAAACAGATATACACTAGTAATTTCTTACCTAATAGAAAAATAAAATAGATTAAAATGTATTAAAATACACAGATATCAATCGACTAAGACATATATTATGTAAAACGCTGTCTCCTGTCACACATTTCATTAATAGTTGATACTGAAAGTTTGATTAACGAGACGTCAGAGCTTGACATGACGTCAGTTAACACAGTAAATTGAGTGAGTGAGTGAGTTGGGTTTAACGCCTCTTTTAACAGCATTCCAGTTATATCGCGGCGTGTCAGCTTAATGTGGGAGGAAAGCCCGAAGTGATGCAGGTCTCAGACGTTTACCACTTCGGTGAAACCCACGAGCACGGGTATGGTGCTGACAAACCTAGAAACATAATTGGGGCGAACCGGGATTCGAACCCACAATCATAGGTTTCTGGCGTGCCCAAGGGATGCAACTCTGCACAGCGAATCGCGGCGCCTTAGACGACTGGGCCACCTGTGCCCCCTAACACAGTAAAAGTCTTATCAGTTAACATAGTAACAGTCTTATCAGATGATTTAAAATCTAAAAGATTAACAAGTTCAAACCTAAGATCATCATAAAAGCTACCATAAAAAAAAGAAAATGAAATTTAGTTTCTAGATGATTACAAAAAGGGCACAGTCTCTCATTAAGTGGCATGGGAGGTTTGTAATAGCGACCTGTCTCAATGTGGAGAGGTAGATTACCACAACGTAATTGCCATTACCAATCACCATCTTTTAATATCTTTTTTTTCATGACACCGCAACATTCCGCTCTCCGGGCAGACACTCTATCAACTGGACCAAGGATGCGCTCAGATACAGGGCTCAACTTTTCTTATACCCTGTTCACATGCACCTCTATACACATGTGTGTATATGTGCATACGTGTGTAGAAACACACACGTGAGTAAACTTGCCTGTGAACGCGTCTACTCATGTGTGTATATTTACACCGGGAGCAAATTTGCATCATGTCTGGAGCAGGTGCAAATCTAAATGTAAATTTGCACTGTGTGTATATGTTGCAATGTGAACGTTTATGTCAACGTAAGAGGATGATCTAATTTGTATCTGTTCTTTTGCAAACACCAAACAAATTGTCAACCGTTGCCAACTTTTATGCGTATATACAGAGTTGAGCGGACGGTGTTTTCTTTTGGTTTCAAGGAGTCAAAACTGTGTATACAAATTCAATCAAACACATGTAGTTTCTCGCGAAAATTAAAGTAACTCTCTTCTCATTCAGACTGACAGAACAGACTGACGAACATGTCTGCCTTACACAATTTACATACTTTACTTACACACCTGAGAAGCTTTTCATGTGAACGCATAGTAAATTTACATATACGCACGTATGTATGGTTACACATGAGTAAAATTACTTACGTTAGAAAATGTTGTGCATGTGAACGGGGTATTAGACTAAATATTTCACAAAGCGAAAGCATAAATGTTCGACAACACACTTGAATAAATGGAGTTTGAATATTAACTATACATCGAATCATAGATGTAACAGAAAAATCAGGAACTACAAGAAATGCTGTATCGTCAAGTTTCAAGAAATAACCCAATTAACATAAAAGTTGACTGGTATTTCCGCTTCTTGGAACATTTAACAACTTTCCTTTAAAGGAGAATAATACTGAAGATAACAGTAAACATTATTTCTTTTTGTTGTGCACGAAATCAACACGTTTTAATTTGTTTGTCGTTTAACCCTGAACTCAGTAATATTCCAGCTACATGATGGCGGTCTGTAAATGATCGAGTATAGAGCAGACAACCCAGTGATTGACATCATGAGCATTGATCTACGCAATCTGGATTCGATGGGACACGACTCTTGAAAACCACATTCGTGAAGCCGGTAGAGAAAATGATAAGACTTTTGCCACAACACATGCATTTGTATGTTCCTATTCAACAGTATGTGTCATATAGACGTAACCAAAATTGGTATTTACACTTCTGAGATTACAAAACTGGTCAATGTCGAGTAAACTGGTATTACTTCCTTCCGGCAGGGATTTATCAAGGAATCCAAGTAAAGTGCCCTGCTTATTTTCTCAAGATAGGAGGTATGTTTTAATTCTGTGAAATGGTCTAAAACTGAAAAACTAAAGCATTTCGGTCCCCTTTTCTTGGTCCCGTTTTCATTAGGTGACCTCTACAAAATCAGAACATTGGTTATCATTGCTATAGCTACCTGAATTGAGACATTCAATTTGGAAATTTGCACCGACATTAACTGCAGAGTTTGGGCCGAATAATAGTATCGGCCTCTGAGCAGTCTAGATTAATCCCTGATCAAGCATAATTAATTTTGTCAACACAGCAAAAGTAATCAGACATGCTACAATAACTACATTGTAAGTTTCAAGTTCAAGAAATAATACTATTTCAAAGCTTATGTTGTTTCAATAATCCAGACAGTGCATGTAGCGAATGCAAGGAAAGTCTGCATATCCCAACACAGCTTAATATTCACACATGTGACAGGAAATGTAAACAGTGATGATGCATTTATCAATACCATTTGCATGTTTTAAAAGTAATCTTTGAGTGTTCTCTTTCTTGCATAATAAATCAATAACCCTAACACTGCATAAAATATATTTTAATATTTGAAGTTAGAAGTTATTATTTTTAAAATTTCGAGGAAAGGGATAGGGGCGTAAATTTTACCCATCTAAGACAGCAATGAGTGAGCTAAGATTTGATGTCACGTCGACAATATTTCTCCCATTTACTGTAGCGTGAAAATAACGAAAACAATAATAGACAACGCACTGGTCAGATCTGCAGCCGTTTCGGGAGACTGCACAAGACTTTCTGCAAACTCTTACAAGCCAGTCTGAGAATAATAATTCTCCATTATCATACTTACATTTCTGCTGCCGCTTGCCACGAGGAATGCATGAGCAAATGTAATCCCACAAACAGATAACCACTTTTATAAACTTTCACGGACGTCGTCTGCTCGCCGGCAGTCCGTTGTCACGTGACCATCTGTCTTTGATCACGCCGCGGTCTAAATATAGAATTCACGTTTCAACCTCGAATTAAAAATGCTGGCAGAGTTTGGAAAATTTGTAGATTATACTATTAACAATTCCTTCCATGTGGAAGAGATAACAAAGATGGTTCTTGTTTAAACCGACACCGTGACTGTGGAATTTCGCAAATGTGATCACAACTCCAGCGGTTATGTTACAGTTGCAGGTGGCAGAGGCGACAATATCACATTAAACAAAGGCATGAATTCCGCAGAACGAACTGTCTGAACTGCAGTGACGCAAATTGTGTCAAACCGCACGGACGGCACAATGTGCACGTGCTCGTCGTGATTTAGTAGATATGCAACATTTTATGGCCGTGTATCGGGTTCCGTTTGATTGCAGTTACCTGGTCAGATCGTTATGCGTGTGACGTTGAAACTGGACATTTGTCAATGAACTAATTGTTGGTTTATAAAGGACATGTGTAGGGTACATTTGATACCAAAACATCACACCCAAGATTAAATGGAGAATGGAAAGTTTTGCAGATAGTGAAGTTGTATTTTGCTTTGTTTGTTGTTTAACGCCGCACTCAGCAATATTCCAGCTTTATGACGGCGATCTGGAGATAATCGAGTCAGGACCAGACAATCCAGTGATTGATATCATGAGCCACGATCCACGTAATTGGGAAACGATGGCATGCATCAACTAAGTCAGCGAGCCTGACCACCAGATCCTGTAAGTCGCCTCTACCGACAAACATAGTCGCTTATACGACAAGCATGGGTTGCTGAAGACCTATTCTACCTCGGATCTTCACGGGTGAAGTTGTAAAGTTCTATAGATGTATGCATGACCCAGGTGGGAATTTCCTCTCTAGGTTATAAAGCTTCCGCAGCGCAAATACAGACTGCATCACGTATATTGCTTCATTCAAGATCCGGACACATTTGTATGGAACGATACTGTGCTTGGAAGAGCTTGTTGAAACATTGAAATTGGTGGAGCGGCATTGAAAGAGAAATGGAATTAGATACTTGTCGATCGCAGCACGTTTGCTGTCAGAATAGACATTAACAAAATGTGTTTATCGATGTTCGTGATGTCAATCACTGGATTGTCTGGTCCAGACTCGATTATTTACGGACCGCCGTCTTAAAGCTGGAATATTGCTGAGTGCGGCGTTAAACAACAAACAAACAAAACTAGAAAATTTCGCTTTGGCATATCATAACGACAGTTCACTCGATATCCGATGGAGTGTATATAATCTCAGGTTATTGGGTAGGGTCCGTTCACAGTTGTTCCGTGTACTTATATACTAGACCCGTGAGGATCCGGGGTAGAATAGGGCTCCGGTAACCCACGCTAGCTGAAACGTTGCAAATAAAAACGAGACGTCCCTTGGTATTGTCCAGTTCATTATTATTGTTTTTTCATTTCTAAAACACAACAATGATTTCCTGGCATTTCTTTTAATCTTTTAATTGTACCAGAAAGTACTTTAAAAAAATCCTAAACATTGTTCGCAGGATATACAGAAATGTCCAGATGAATACTGTGTTATGGAAAAAAAAGTATCACTGGCTTCCATTCGCAGTAATGTCACTTTTTGCCACCAAACACCACATCGCACATTTCAAGCTTTATTATAAGAAACAGCAAATGAAATTACCCCTCGACAATGTTGATGCTGAAGAACCACAAGCCCTAGACGTCAAGCGAGCAGGGGACTTTGAGAAATGTGCCTTCAAAATGTTAGAAACAGAAAACACTGACAGACTATTTTAAGTAGATGAAGCAAGTTGTTAAGACAGTAGCACTTGCATTTACACGAGGAAACGTGTGTCGTTGATCATGTGATAAATTCAGTGAGTAATGTCTCTATTGTTATGTATAAAAGGGAAAATTATTATTATTTTTGCACAGTCATTAATTATAAATTAAGGAATGAATGAATAAACAACATAACAATATTAATATTTCGTTTTTAATGATTTTATTACAAGGTACACACGGTTATTATCTATCGTGAAGACGTCCGATTTTCGATCACAAATCACTTAATTTCGTTAATCCGACATACTCGTTAATCCGACACAATCATGTGCAACCAACGATGTCGGATTAACGAGACTTGACTGTAGCTGGAATATTGCTGGCATCGGCACAAAACAACATGCACTCACTGTATAAAACCTGTTTGTAACAGTGTTACTGTGTGAATAATATATTCGCCATAGTTGGTATTATTCAAGCTATATCAGGGCGGTGTGTAAAATATAGATTATGGGGTGCTGGGAAATTCTGCGTCTGGTTCGACACACTTTTTTTTAATTCAGCTTCCGGGAGACGCAACATGGACGAGTAGCATCTGCAAGAATAAAGAATTATTTAATTCGTTCAAACTAACATTTCACCATGTGTACCATTATGCTTTATGCATTCTAAAATGTTTGTTCATCCAAATCAGGAAAAAATGCATAAGTCACTGAATTCTTTTTTAAAACTATTTTTGAAATTGTGATTACTGGTTAAAATGGATTAACATTATTGAAAAGCATTTTTTTTAAATCGTGTTTAAGATTTTTTTATCCAAAATAAATGTATACCGACATACAATTCCGCAATCAGTCTGACATATAATTTAGACAGCAACATGAAGAATGATATATTTCAAAGATTTGAAAGATTAGCTGTCTCATTTGGTTTGTCATACAAAACAAATATTGGGTAGACCAAAGGTCATTTACTAATATTCTAGACAGACGTAATTATACACACACAATCAGGAAACATTGGACAATGACGAGGTCACACTATTCGCCTATTGCGACATCAGAGTACAGACGTATATCTCAATCCTATTAGAAACTTCACATCTCGTGAACAAAGAACTCCCATTTGCCTTACCTTAATTATGGTCGTGATGTTTGTAACAATCATTAAGCACATCATTTGAATTTATTCTGGACATCGACTGTTTGCCAAATACGATTTTCAATTAGACAAATCAATTATGTTGTTTAAGTAAGATATCCGATACTGGATATTTTATGTCTTTGCGTGTATGTTAATTTGTTTACAAGGTATGGAAATCAACTAGGATCGGTTTTCCCCCTGCTTGACCAATAGGACTTTAGCTCTTAAGATGATACGTTATTAAACAGTACGGGATTTAATCATATACAGTTTCATCGGGGTTGTTTCATTATTTCATAATCAGTATTGTGTAATTGGATTCGTTAGCTTCAAATCAATATGAACGTGTATGGTTATAATATGCTTAGCCTCCTGTCACAGCATCAATCAGGAAGTTTTACAATGTTTATAATAGCTACTGCACACATCTTTCGAAAGTAAGAGGTGGGGTGAAATGGGGTTTAACGTCGCGTTCAAGATTATTGCACTTATATAGCGACGTGCATGTACCTGTGTTTGTTTGTGTGGCTGCTTGTACTAGTCCGGACTGATGCCGATTTATAAAGTACTCATGGAAATGAAAAAAACTGTTTTGCTGGATTTAATAATCGACACAAAGCATTACGTAGATGTAAATACGAAATTACAAAACAAGTGGAAAAGTACTAATCTGGAGTTGCTAGTTTATCTCAGAGCTCAATACAAAATGTACTTTACAGGAGGTAATTTGTAGGTACTTTCAACATTCAAAAATAAAACTAAGTCCAAATTGACATGGCAGAAACAGCCTATAGACATTATGCAAATTAGCCTGGAAAAAAGTTATCAAAACAACAATAAAAATAACAGCTATGTTGATGTACATAATAATAATGACATGCAAGTTGTTGTTTGAGAAGGGAGTATGTTACTTTTACGTTCTGATATTTTGACGATGATTCATTATCCCACAATGCCAATCACAAATCACTAACCACTGAAAATTCACATGCACGTGGGTTTCAAGCACCTGTTTTCACCTGTCGTCAAGGTGTCATAGGTCATGGACATTCACCTTGATCTACTAACACCTGGTTATGCTCAGTTTAACAATGGGCTGTTTTGTTCATATTTTTACACACTTTTACATGTAAAAAGACATAAAAACCTTTGATACGCTGTATTTGTGCCAAGGCCCAATTAGTACTAATTGAGTTGTTTGAATATTTATATATTGTGTATATTAACTGCATTTATTTAAAATCTGAGATCGAAAAAACTTTTTTTTTTCATTTCCGTGAGTACTTTAGTGCTAGCTCACTGAGATACCATGCCGCAGTTTAACATGAATACCCCACTCAGACACAGTATACTGACTCCGAGCTGACCAGTCCTTGTTTTAGCCCCTTAATGTCGAGCGCCAGACAGGGTAACAACAAGTACCATCTTTTAACGTCTTTTTGAATGACGCGGCCGGGGATCGAACCCCGCTCTCAGGGCGGACGCTCTACCACTAGACCACGGAGGCGGTCCCGAAAGTAAGACATGCGATAAAAAGAAAGTATACAATTAGACATTTGATTTGACAACAATATTACAAACGTTATCAAAATGTTTCTAGGCGGAAAAGTAGCGTTCTGGTACCCTACTGGTTACAGCGGGCTCTCGACACGCCGACGACCGAGGTTTATTACATGGGTACAATTTGTGAAGCCCCTTTCTGCTGTCCCCCGCCGTGATATCACTCACTAGGCTGAAAAGGGTTGCAACCTAAAACATTGCAAACCTAAAGTCCACAGCTCTGATACCCGTATCAAATACATCACCATCGAATAACAAACATTTTTTTGTTTGTCTCATATTTAGCCATCATCAAACATGGATGCAGACTTTCTTTTGTCCAGTGTAGGAGGATCAGATCACTCCCCAAGGTCAAGTCACTCTGGAGTGATTTCATCCTGGGATCAAATCACTCCGTTTACAATCATAACACTCCTCCTTCGCAGGACGAAAACACCCCCCGGGATAAAAACTCTCCCTTCTACATACTGTATTGGCGATAAGCAGAACCTGACTTATTTACTTATCCAAACAATACATTAGCTATACATACAGTTTAAATGCTTCATTTTTATGTCATGAGTTAATATTTTAAAAATCCTAAATTAAAGGTTCTATTGAATATTATGCGCGGTAAAATATACATTGGAAGATATTTAGTAATAAAAGGTAAAAATGAAAATTTCGTGAAGGAATAGACATTTTATATAAGCTTTCGGCTTGTTATCTAATCCATATACATATAAATTGTATGTATTAAATGTATACCAGTGTTTAATAAAACATTGTTCAAATCAAATCAGTTAGTCGTTTAGATGTACAATATGGCGATGGCTTGAAATACATGTACGTCAGTCCCAATTGCAGGGATCGATGCTCATGATATTAATCACTAGATTGTCTGGTCCAGACTCGATTATTTACAGACCGCCGTCATATAGCTGGAATATTGCTGTGTGCAGCGTTGAACAACAAACCAACCAACCAACATGTGCTTCAAATCTTTTCTATCAATGATCACTACTCCGAACTGTTCCAACTCTCCCAAAGTTTCTAATGTTGGACATAACGCCCCTCACCTGTATATACCTGTATATTCTTCAAGTATATATATTAATATTCAATGCTATGAAAATTAAGTGTAATTCCAGTCACGCACTATTGCTTATTGTACTAAACAATTGTAAGATGAATAAAAAGAGCCTCAACTCTGTCTTGTTGTTATACGGCCACTATCAATGAACTTTTTTTTATTTAATCCATATGCATGTTTATTTTCCACTGGTCGTAAACTCCTATTTGTCAAAATGAATTTTATGTAATTGGTAATGTTTGACTGAATTATTTATCCCTTGATTTATTGATTGGTAGACTTTCCGTACCAGCATGTCAATATAACAATATAAAATACACATAGTTAATAAAACCTTATTTAACAAAATCCATTTTTCTTAGCACAAATACATCTGCTCCGCTCAGAACATCTCTACTGAGTGTGCAGGACATCATACCAGACAGACAATTCCCCACACGGATATCACCCACACAGACAATTCCCCACACGGATATCACCCACACAGACAATTCCCCACACGGATATCACCCACACAGACAATTCCCCACACGGATATCACCCACATAGACAATTCCCCACACGGATATCACCCTCACAGACAATTCCCCACACGGATATCACCCACACAGACAATTCCCCACACGGATATCACCCACACAGACAATTCCCCACACGGATATCACCCACACAGACAATTCCCCACACGGATATCACCCACACAGACAATTCCCCACACGGATATCACCCACACAGGCACTTCCCCACACGGATATCACCCACACAGACACTTCCCCACACGGATATCACCCTCACAGACAATTCCCCACACGGATATCACCCACACAGACACTTCCCCACACGGATATCACCCACACAGACACTTCCCCACACGGATATCACTCACACAGACAATTCCCCACACGGATATCACCCACACAGACAATTCCCCACACGGATATCACCCACACAGACAATTCCCCACACGGATATCACCCACACAGACACTTCCCCACACGGATATCACCCACACAGACATTTCCCCACACGGATATCACCCACACAGACACTTCCCCACACGGATATCACCCTCACAGACAATTCCCCACACGGATATCACCCACACAGACAATTCCCCACACGGATATCACCCTCACAGACAATTCCCCACACGGATATCACCCACACAGACAATTCCCCACACGGATATCACCCTCACAGACAATTCCCCACACGGATATCACCCACACAGACACTTCCCCACACGGATATCACCCACACAGACATTTTCCTACGCGAACAATACCCACGCCTTATATCAAGAAGGAAAAATAACCAAAACAATCTATGTATTGTATTTTTTATTTTACCAGAAAAACATGTGACATTGCAATAATTATGCGCGGTTAGTTTGAAAATTAGAACTTACAAACAATGTGTTTCAAATGAGGGAAACATAATTCGTAAACATTGAATGCCACTCAGATCTATACCACATACACGCACCACACAGTAGTAACATTTCTGTGGCATTTTGTTTCAATTTTGATTTATATTATTTCGAAATACATTCATATACACTGTGTATTTTGCATTTTTTTCTGTTGGAGTGATTTGATCCTAACATTGGCTATACCCTGCAGGGAGTGTTGTGATCCTGAAAGGGGAGTATTTGATCCCAGGATAATTGTACTCTTGAGTGTGTCAGCATTGGGATCAGGTCACTCCAGAGTGTGTCAGTTCTAGGATCAGGTAACTCCAGAGTAATTCTATCCCAGGACTCACTTTAGAGTGAAATTTGAGGCGAAAGATTTAATCCTCCCACACCGGCAGTTTATAAAGTCCATGTGTACGCGTGACATGTGTGTATCCCACCCCGACCTCTCCCAGTATGACATGAGTGTATCCCACCCCGACCTCTCCTAGTATGACATGAGTGTATCCCACCCCGACTTCTCCTACTATGACATGAGTGTATCCCACCCCGACCTCTCCCACTATGACATGAGTGTATCCCACCCCGACCTCTCCTAGTATGACATGAGTGTATCCCACCCCGACCTCTCCTAGTATGACATGAGTGTATCCCACCCCGACTTCTCCTACTATGACATGAGTGTATCCCACCCCGACCTCTCCCACTATGACATGTGTGTATCCCACCCCGACCTCTCCTAGTATGACATGAGTGTATCCCACCCCGACCTCTCCCAGTGTGACATGAGTGTATCCCACCCCGACCTCTCCCACTATGACATGTGTGTATCCCACCCCGACCTCTCCTAGTATGACATGAGTGTATCCCACCCGACTTCTCCCACTATGACATGAGTGTATCCCACCCCGACCTCTCCCACTATGACATGAGTGTATCCCACCCCGACCTCTCCCACTATGACATGTGTGTATCCCACCCCGACCTCTCCTAGTATGACATGAGTGTATCCCACCCGACTTCTCCCACTATGACATGTGTGTATCCCACCCCGACCTCTCCCAGTATGACATGTGTGTATCCCACCCCGACCTCTCCTAGTATGACATGAGTGTATCCCACCCCGACTTCTCCCAATGTGACATGAGTATATCCCACCCCTATCTCTCCCAATATGACACGAGTGTTTCCCGACCCGATCTCTCCCAGAGTGACACGAGTGTATCCCACCCTGATCTCCCCCAGAGTGACATGAGTTTATCCCACCCTGATCTCTCCCAGAGTAACACGAGGGTATCCCACCCCGATCTCTCCCAGAGTGACATGAGTGTATCCCACCCTGATCTCTCCCAGAGTGACACGAGGGTATCCCACCCTGACCTCTCCTAATGTGACACGAGTGTATCCCGACCCGATCTCTCCCAGAGTGACATGAGTGTATCCCACCCTGATCTCTCCCAGAGTGACACGAGGGTATCCCACCCTGACCTCTCCTAATGTGACACGAGTGTATCCCGACCCGATCTCTCCCAGAGTGACATGAGTGAATCCCACCCTGATCTCTCCCAGAGTGACACGAGGGTATCCCACCCTGACCTCTCCTAATGTGACACGAGTGTATCCCAACCCGATCTCTCCCAGAGTGACATGAGTCTATCCCACCCTGATCTCTCCCAGAGTGACACGAGGGTATCCCACCCTGACCTCTCCTAATGTGACACGAGTGTATCGCAACCCGATCTCTCCCAGAGTGACACGGGTGTATCCCTCCCTGATCTCTCCCAGAGTGACAGGAGTGTATCCCACCCGATCTCCCCCCAGAGTGACAGGAGTGTATCCCACCCTGATCTCCCCCAGAGTGACATGAGTGTATCCCACCCCGAACTCTCCGAATGTGACAGGAGTGTATCCCGACCCGATCTCCCCCAGAGTGACAGGAGTGTATCCCACCCTGATCTCCCCCAGAGTGACATGAGTGTATCCCAACCCGATCTCTCCCAGAGTGACATGAGTCTATCCCACCCTGATCTCTCCCAGAGTGACACGAGGGTATCCCACCCTGACCTCTCCTAATGTGACACGAATGTATCGCAACCCGATCTCTCCCAGAGTGACACGGGTGTATCCCTCCCTGATCTCTCCCAGAGTGACAGGAGTGTATCCCACCCCATCTCCCCCCAGAGTGACAGGAGTGTATCCCACCCTGATCCCCCCCAGAGTGACATGAGTGTATCCCACCCCGAACTCTCCCAATATGACACGAGTGTATCCCACCCCGATCTCTCCCAGAGTAACACGAGGGTATCCCACCCTGATCTCCCCCAGAGTGACATGAGTGTATCCCACCCTGATCTCTCCCAGAGTGACACGGGTGTATCCCTCCCTGATCTCTCCCAGAGTGACACGGGTGTATCCAACCCCGAACTCTCCCAATGTGACAGGAGTGTATCCCACCCCGATCTCCCCCAGAGTGACACGGGTGTATCCCTCCCTGATCTCTCCAGGAGTGACACGGGTGTATCCCACCCCGATCTCCCCCAATATGACATGACTGTATCCCACCCCGATCTCCCCCAATATGACACGAGTGTATCCCACCCCGATCTCCCCCAATGTGACACGAGTATATCCCACACCGATCTCCCCCAATGTGACATGAGTATATCCCACCCCGATCTCTCCCAGTGTGACATGAGTATATCCCACACCGATCTCCCCCAGTGTGACACGAGTATATCCCACACCGATCTCCCCCAGTGTGACACGAGTGTATCCCACCCTGATCTCCCCCAGAGTGACACGAGTATATCCCACCCCGATCTCCCCCAGTGTGACACGAGTGTATCCCACCCTGATCTTCCCCAGAGTGACATGAGTGTATCCCACCCTGATCTCTCCCAGAGTGACAGGAGTGTATCCCACCCCATCTCTCCCAATGTGACACGAGTGTATCCCACCCCGATCTCTCCCAGTGTGACAGGCGTGTATCCCACCCGATCTCTCCCAGAGTGACAGGCGTGTATCCCACCCGATCTCTCCCAGAGTGACAGGAGTGTATCCCACCCGATCTCTCCCAATGTGACACGAGTGTATCCCACCCCGATCTCTCCCAGTGTGACAGGAGTGTGTAGTCATGGCTGGTCACCACCCGTTCAGACTGTCACTTTATATTTTCAGCATATCCAGAGTCAGCACATGAGAGTAAGTTTAAGAAACTTAAGCCACTGTGTACGGAAGCCAGCCCATTAAATGGCTCTACAAGTATACTGCCACCGTTAACTTGCACATCACGACGGCAAACTAGGCAGTCACGTGTAATGCACGCTAGTCTACCTTGATTAGTCTTTATGGGACAACTTAATTGATGAATATTAATTGGAATTATTTGTCGTGTCTTGTTTTTGTAAGTAAGGCTGTCATATTTATTATACTGTCCTAGTTCGGGTTGATGAATATTTATTTTTTCCCAAGGTTCAATGATGAAAATGTTGTTAAGAACTTTGCATTCGAACAAATAATAAAAGGGATATTATCTATCCAAAGACCCTTCCAATTAATTGTAAATAGTAGCTTGTAACACGTTGCAAGATTATTTTTAAAAAAAAGAGGATTCATACAGGTAAGTAACAGATGAGTGAGTGAGTGAATATGCTTTTTACACCGCTTTTGGTACTATTCCAGCAATATCACGGCGGAGTAAACAGAAATGGGTTACACACACTGTAACCATGGTAGGATTCGAACACGGGCCTTCGGTGTGATGAGCGAACGCCTTATCCAGTAGTCTACCTAACCACCCCATTTAAATGGAATAATAACACGACATACTTTTTAGCTTGTTAAAGGTAGACTTCCTGTATAGGGCTGACATACTATCGATGGGTATTGGGGAGATTAGGATAAAAAAATATCTGAGATTGACACTTAATTGTTTTTTCAAATAGTCGATTAGTTTTGGTGTTTTATAGCCTACTACTTTGTTACTTTTACTTTTAAAAAACGGACCTGCTATTTCACGACTCCTCAAAACGCATTTTTATTAAATGACTATGGCGATATGTTTTTAAAGATTTTTTTTCTGAAACTTAATCATTATTTTAAACGGAGCCATATCAAGGGGCAACCTTAAGCCTATTCACCTTGCGTACACATGTTCGCAGGAATATTTTCCCAGACGAATACATTCACTCAGCGGTTAGCGCCCGGTGAGAAATCACTCTAACCATTTGTAATTCGATATTTGAGTCTGAAATCGGCATTGAAACGACGAACAGAATCCCCTCCACTTTTTTATCTCCTGCTAAGGCCGAGCTTCTCAGATCACGGATGTGTAATTGAAATTCACCATCAGTGTAAAGACGGTCAATATCTTGCTTTTTGTTTTCAGATAATAATGAACTGTGTCACGTTGCCACGGGGTGCTCAGGTGCATTGTATAACGTTTTTTTGTATTAAATCCTACGTTGATTTATGTTGACTACCTGGTTAAAGTATAAAAAGGTTGCCAGGTGACAAACCACCGTTTCTTTTGTAAATTATGATAACAGGTTTAAATATTCTGTAAAAGGTTACTTGATCCAGGGTAAGAGTGAATCACGTGCTCTAATTGTATCGATTTTAAATCCCTTTGATCCTATTCAATGTACACTGCGGTCTTACTATCGCTTGAGCTGATGTCGTGAACATTAACATATTATACCAGTGGAAGTAATTCGAAATATTTCATTTCTATTAGAGTTAGTGTGGCCGGTTCCAGCTTAAATCTACCTGACCTGGTCCGTAAATATTACTGTACACGGGCTGCGGGCTTTCTAAGTTGTGTCAGACCTGGTATGTATCCGTGTCTGTTGAACTCGTGTTCTGTCTTTATTAGCAAAGGTCTGCAACGCTTGATGTAGTTCAGGCCAGGGGATTGAACGGCGGACCTTTCGCTCTATGGCAGAAATAAGTTCCAGCAGATAGACTATCCAAAATATTTTATCAAGATCACGTGGACCAATCAGATCTCATCATTCTGATGGAGCTATGATAGAGATCTATGTTTCCCGCCTTGGAGGGAAATATATTTCTCTGCGGATGAATAAATCCCTTATATGCCGCCACGAACAAGACTGGCTGCACGTGGATTTCAGAGAATGGTATATTAGTAGAGAGAAAGTAATACTATTACTTTCTCTCTACTTATATTAAAACATATCGGTAAGAAAAATTCGTATCACTCGGGGTACATGGGATTTTATGCGTCCCTCGTTAGGTTTTATACCACTCCGGCTCGAGGTATAAAACCTAACGCGGGACAAATAAACCCAATGTGCCCCTCGTGATCCTGCTACAACTTAAAATGTATCCCGCCTTGGAGGGAAATAAATTTCTCAGCGAGAGAATAAATACCTTACATCCCTCCACGAACAAGACAGGCTGCACGTGGATTTCTGAGAGACGCAGGCTTTGGCCGAGTCAAGGAAAGACACATGACATAGTACAAGCTAACCTCAGTTCAATCGAACAGCGATTTTCTATCATTTTTGAATTTATTTTAATACATATACAGTCTTATTAAAACATGTTGGGAACATGAATTCGTTACAGCAGTATCACTCGTGGTACCTCGTTAGGTTTTATACCCCTCGCCGCCGGCTCCTGAAACCTAACGAGGCACGCATAAAACCCCCAGTTATACTGTTACAACGAATTTATCTCACATATGAATAAATGCAGCAAAGAGGGTTTGTGTGATCTTGGCAGTCAGGCTGGTTAGGCTCATTATCAGCTCAGGGACCTTGCTCCCCTCTACACGCAGCCCTCACAGCGAATGGGACTGCTTAGTCAAACCCACCCAGAACTTTTCCAAGATGTGAAGACTCCCCAACACTGCAGCCTTCTCCATTACCCAGATTGTCAGAAGGGCTGTAAAACTCGGGTACTATTCCAATGTCAGGCAACAGATTGGGAAGTACCAAACCGAAGGCACCCAGAACAATGGGGAGTCAGACAACTTGGTACTTGAGATGCAAGCGTGACATTTCGACAATTGCCATGTTTCTCCTGAATCTTGTCAATCACATTAATGTCAATAAGGACAGAAAATTTAATAATAAATGATTTCATTGGATTTATGAAAAAGTCAAGATCAGGATTGTTTACCTGATTAGGTCGAAGGCTGTATACGGGCCTATTCCAAAGATTTTTTTGTTTTTCATTTTCCATGACGCCCTCTACATATTCGGGGTCGAGCCACTCCACCATGTCACTTAAAATATTGTGTTTATTGCCAAAGCTGAGAATCCACTGTCTTGGGAAGTCTCATTAAATTCTTTGCATAATCTCATATTTACATTTTGATGCAAAATCACACATTGACGGTGGAAGTGGGAAGTAACTAGTCCTGAGCAGCAGGCAGAAATCCTTCTATTTCACTTTGAAGGTCAACCGACTACATCCAAGCGAAGAACTATGCAGGGTTGCTGATCTTATCAACACACTGCACATATACTCGATGCAGTGGTCGTTCATATAGCCTCTCCTTGAAAATCTGAGTCTCGGCTGATTTGATATGGCACTTCGCTCGGTTGACAGCAGTACAGAACCATCAACAAAATCAACATTGACACGGAGATTATGTCCCACATCCTTGGCTCTTTTAAGAGAGAAAACTGTGGAATGCCTTGTTTTCATCATGAGTCTTGACATGCTTCACAAGAGGATCATCCGACAAATAAATGTGCGCAAAAATGCTCTAAACAATTCTATCATGAAGAGCCTCCACGTTAATCAAACCACGTCTTCCCAATATAATCGGTAAATATGCGCGATTGAGGGAAGAGCGAGGGTGGTGTAATCTATTGTCTGACATGATTCTTTGTTGTCTTCATCTGCATGTTTTGAATGACATCACTGTCACGGATATCTTCAACCACGAGCTTAAATACACAAGGTTGACGTAGCTGGAGTGTCGTATTGAAAACGACAATCTCAATAGTCGCCCATATCGTGTCTTTATGGGGCGCTTCAATCACTCGGTGACGAGTTCACTGAGTCCCATTCCATTCGTGACCAATATTTCCCATTCCGGGACAAGCCGAATGTTGTAGGTTACGGAAACATGTGAGTGGTGAAAGAATACCCTGCATTTCTTGTTTCGTCCAATCAACAACACCAAAAGAAAACGAAAGGACAGGTACAGCATAGGTATTTGTGGCTTCGACTTTATTGCGAGAGTTCAGCTCTGAACTCCAGGTTTTCTTAAGTCTACATTTGTACTCTGCCCGAAGTTTTTCCTTGATCTGGAGATTGTCCCTAACCTGCATCCCTCAGTACGAGATGTTCAATAACTTCTCCCCCTAGTAAACTGACTGATCCTCCCTCTTCTATCTTGCCACGTTTCAGATGAAGAATGTTGCATTTTCGAGTATATGGGCCGATGGCCTTTGATACAATAAACATCTTTGACTTTGACTTGAGTCCAAAGGATATGCCAATATCATTAGAAAAGGACTCGAAAAGGTGAATCTGCTTTTAGAGTGGGTTCTCCTTTGGCAATGTCATCCATGTACAGGAGGCGAGTAAGGGGTGTCTCAGCTGAGGAGGTCCAGGATGACAACAGTCATCTTTGCTAAGCAAAAACCTTAAATGAAAAGAGAAAAGGGCTAAAAGAATCGCCCTGAAATATCCACTTCTTATAGAAATGTGTTCAGAAGTCACAACCTGCCCCTGCGAATACACCTAAAGTTGAGTTGACCAGCAATTCATTAAAGGCTTGAGTAAAACAAGTAACCGCTCGGGGAGGTCAATTCATTCCAGTGACTTCAAAATTCATTCGTGAGGTACAGAATCATAAGCATTACTATAGTCTGTCCAACACATTGAGAGGTTGTTGTTGTTGTTGTTGTTGTTGTTGTTGTTAATGTTGCTGTTTTACACATGTGGCCTTCTACCTGGCTTTCTATTTTCATATCTGAATCTATGTATTGTATAGTCCGAGGTTCTTTACAGATGAGGAAATAGTATATTGG